TTGTTTTCTTATCGGTCACCACGCTCAAAAAGTGTAACTTGATTTAATATCAAAGACTTAACTGCATAAATAAAATAAATAAATAATTATAATTGCAAAAGTTGATAAAAAATGCTATGCAATAGCTTTACCGCGGCAGTCACCGAGTGCCACACGTATTTTTATTTCAATGGTTTTATTTTATTAAAACAGTGACTGTCAGGGTTTTGGTACTCTTAAATTAAACAAACTTACATATTCATGTATGTTTTCTCTGTTTAGGTTTTTAAAGAATTGTTTAAAAAAACTAATCTAAATTTAAAATGTAATAGATTCTACGTTCTACTTGGACGTTTTTCTTTCCGAACCGACTACGTGCTTGCATACCTTTAGAAAGCGACGCTCGCATGAGCACAGAATGACTGAAGTGCGGCAAGTTCGCGTTGCGCACTTTCCAGCAAATGTTCAGCAAGCGAATGACACGTGAGTGTCCAATAGACGACGTCAATGTACTGATGGACCAATCGCGTTAAAATTTTCTCAGCCCTTGCCTCGCGCCCTTGTACTTCACTAAAGAAACCTTTAAATTGACTACTGCGCATGTCAAGCCTGTGCAAACCACTAACGCCACTAGGCATACTGAAATTGTCTGAAACTGGCAACCTACCAGTACATTATAGATAATAAAATAAAAATACATATATATTTTAATTCATTCTCTGGAGAGTTTTTTTTAGGTTTCTGAAAGTGGTCAGACTCTTATTGATTATGTAACAATAATAGTTTTCCTATTTTTCAATTTCTTATACGTTTCGTACTTTTTGTAACTTCCTACTGGAAACTTCGTAGCCTAAAATGAGTACGAATGATTATAGTAACTGATAATTTCGGGTTTGGATGTTTGTCATTTTACTTAGAAAGTGTACTGTAAGTTACTTAGTAAATAAAAGATATTTGTAATTCCATTTCACTAAAAGGAATTGATGTCGATGTTTTATAATGTATATTAAGTATATTAATTTATTGATAGGTTAAAAAAGGTTGTTTCTTGGATTTTTTACATTAATTTTGTACCTGGGACATTGCCTTGTTTGTCCTTGTGTTATATTTTGTAAACTGCCTCCACGATACAGGAGAACATACTAGTGTGAGGATGACGTTTAAAAATATGTGAAATTCATAAAGGTGATCGATGTATCAGTAGGCAAGTAGCAACATTACGCTAGACTGTGTATCCTGAACAAGAAAAGTTTTACAGCTGAAAGGAATTAGTTCTTCGGTATGAGACTGGTTAAGAATTGATTTTATCAATAAATAGTGTTTAACAATTGAGAGATTTTCATTTTTGTTACACAAAAATACAGTCGGTTGTTCTTTATACAACTTTTCATTTAATATGGTGACGTATACATAACAAGATAAGTTCGTGGGTTCAAATCATAAATAGCCCGCTGAACATTGAGCAAAAATTTATATCAATTTATATTCTGAATATTGTTGATATACTTAATATTGTAGTAGACATCGTAATCAAGACAAATTTAATACTTTGGAAAAGTGTTATCAATAAAGTTGCGTTTTCCGTTACCAGCCGTTACCTTTTATTTATCCCCTTAGTGTGGGGGCCCAATACACTCCAGCCCCCAATAATACAAATATAATGTTCTGTTTTCCCACTTATTCTCCCCTGTCCCATTTATTTCCAACCCGGGTAACAACTACCGATATATCCTATTAAGGGGAAATATAATCTCAAATGGCTTAGCAAGATCCTTCGTTATGTCGAAAATATTGCAGCATTTTTTGAAATAAATATATGGTAAAGTTGAGGATTAATATTAAGGATTATGTTGACGAAAATACGATTTCGTAAAATTTTCTCGATAGAAAAAAAATCCAAAGTTACCTCCAAAATAAACAATAAATCGCTGTTATTCATAAAATACTTTAAATAAGATCATGAAACTTTGCATACTAATTGAACTAACTATAAAGAAGTGCTTATGTTATTTACTTTTTTTTAAATACCATTATATTAAATGTAAAAAGAAATTACCTAAACTATCGGTCTTTTGAAGCGTGATTCCTGCCGCACGGTCACTTCGCTTCGGCCTTTGAACGGGGAGGTTGTGTCGCTTACGATCAGAATATACATTACGCAACAAGACGACGTAAAATTAAAATGGGAAATAACCGTAATAAAAATAAGAAGCGACTGGCTTGGCGTTAAGAAACAGGCATAAATATGATAAACCTAATGAAATAAGTGTCTAACGACCTTTCTACTTACAGTATTAATGATTACAAACATGTCGGTACATAGCATACGACGCGCGGGCAAGTGGGGACGAAATTAGAATTTGAGCTGACTTACTCTATCCCCTTAAGGACGCGTTTGCAAATCAACCAAAATTAGGGTGTTTTTCGGTAGATTTTGTGACAAAACTAAACCAAATCAAATATAAGTAAAAACTACCATGTATAGATTTGTTCTTCATCTGCAAATGTCTGTAACTCTTTTGTTGAAAATAGTAGTTTTTTATATTGTAAAAACGAACTTTCGTTGCCATTTTCTACAAAATTAACGATACCGGCTTGTGTTTCGGTAGATGTTTTGGTCTATTATCAACATATTTAAAAATTTAAAAAAATACTATAAGATGACAGACATATTCAATTAAAAAACCCTGTGTTTATTTTTTAACAAAATGTCACAAATAGTCGTAAAAAAAATAAAAACTGATGCACATTTTTGCACATATTTTGGTAATATGGATGAATCATAATGTATTGCAATAAGGGCTATTTTATTGTTGGTGCCTGCTTTGATTTATTGTACAAAGATTTCGATGAAACCACAGTCCGCGCTCGGCCGCCGTCGTGAGTGGACACTGTATCGCCTGTTTGCAGCGGCTCATTCTGAAAAGATCGCTGTACATACACAAAATATTAGAAAAAAACAAATTGGAAACATAAGTACTTGACAAGTGATAAAATTATTATTTTTATACTCACAGTTTTTATTTAGCTAAAAATAAGTAGGATATATAAACTTACCTACTACTGCAACTCGTGGACGAGCGGAACTAGGTGTGCCGAGTTTGGGCTCGTTTTGTTGGTTATGATGAGACCTTACCTCTGGACTTGATGGCATGACCTGAAGGTGTACTTTCGTGACCGCTATTTGAACTTCTTGCAGAGTAAAACTAGGGGTGACGAATTTGGGCTCCGTTTTGTTAGTTATGACGAGTCTATACCTCTGGACTTGATGGAGTGACCTGAAGGTCTAAATCGGTGATTGCAACTGGAACTCCTAGACTGGTAGAACTAGGTGTGCCGAGTTTGGGTTCGTTTTGTTAGTTACGATGAGACCTTACCATCGGACTTGATAGAGTGACCTGAAGGGGTAATTCAGTAACTACTGCTGGAATTTCTGAACGAGTAGAACTAGGTGTGTCGAATTTGGGCTTCGTTTTGTTAGTTATGACGAGTCCATACCTCCGGACTTGATGGAGTGACCTGAAGGTGTAGTTCAGTGATTACAAGTGGAACTCCTAGACTTGTAGAACTAGGTGTGCCGAGTTTGGGTTCGTTTTGTTAGTTACGATGAGACCTTACCACCGGACTTGATTGAGTGACCTGAAGGTGTAATCAGGTGGTTACAAATGGAATTCCTAGACTAGTAGAACTAGGTGTGACGAGTTTGGTTTCGTTTTGTTAGTTACGATAAGACCTTACCACCGGACTTGATGGAGTGAAATTCGGCACACCTAGTTCTACTGGTTCAGAAATTCCAGCAGTAGTTATTGAATTACCCCTTCAGGTCACTCCATCAAGTCTGGTGGTAAGGTCTCATCATAACTAACAAAACGAACCCAAACTCGGCACACCTAGTCCTACAAGTCTAGAAGTTCCACTTGTAATCACCGAACTATACCTCCAGGTCACTCCATCATGTCCGGTGGTAAGGTCTCATCATAACCTACAAAACGAACCCAAACTCGGCACACCTAGTTCCACCAGTCTAGGAGTTCCAGTTGCAATCACCGATTTACACCTTCAGGTCACTCCATCAAGTCCGGAGGTATGGACTCGTCATAACTAACAAAACGGAGCCCAAATTCGGCACATCTAGTTCTACTCGTTCAGAAATTCCAGCAGTAGTTACTGAATTACCCCTTCAGGTCGCTCCATCAAGTCTGGTGGTAAGGTCTCATCATAACTAACAAAACGAACCCAAACTCGGCACACCTAGTTCTACTAGTCTAGGAGTTCCACTTGTAATCACCGAATTACACCTTCAGGTCACTCCATCAAGTCTTGTGGTAAGGTCTCATCATAACCAACAAAACGAACCCAAACTCGGCACACCTAGTTCCACTAGTCTAGGAGTTCCTGTTGTTGTAATCACCAAATTACACCTTCAGGTCACTCCATCAAGTCCGCAGGTAGGTAAGGTCTTATTATAACTGACAAAACCAGTTCAAAGTCCAGAGCTAACATCTCACTACCAGTAGAGGGCTTCCAGTGCCAAGCAGTCTTTGGAGCAGGTATTCATATTTCGTATCGAAGTATATTTCTGAGGTAGGTATAAGAAATGAAAAATAAATTCAATCTTTCAAATTATCAAAATAATTTCATTTGACTACGATTCCCACAGCCAACCGTGCGTACACTAGTGTGTGTGTGACTTTTGTCAATGTAGTAGTGCGATTCTATACCTATCCATTTTGTAAACGCGTCCTTAAAGTCCACTGCTGAAAATAGGCCTCATAGATTTACCTCATAGCGGATCGTTATCATATTCGCCTCACTAGGCAAGCGGGTTGACAACTTTTAAATGCCCGTCTCCAGTTTCATTTTCCCTCTGTCGCTTCTTACCTTACACCTAAGAGATGATATGGGGTGGTGGATACTATTACACCGCTACAACTCGACGCGAATTGAATAACTATATTTAACAAGAGAAAAAACCAACGACGTATGTAAAATATTGACAGAAAATAATGAACAAATAAGACTATAGAAATAAGTGTAAGAAAAGAATTTATTAATAATTTGCTTTGCTTTGGAGTTCCAATCTTTCACTGTATCTACAGCATGCTTAGAAATTTCTTCAATGTGTGATGGGCCGCTATCATCGATAACATCGTGCTTTGCTTCGGAGCCGCCGCCGTAATGCGCGGATGATACCACGGCGATTAGCATCGCCAAGAGTATAATTTTCAGGGTCACTGACATGCTCTTTTTGTTTACCTGAAAAAATACGTGTAAGTGTACAATCATTTTCCACATGGCGGAACAAGTCTCCAATCTCGATTGTTGTTGATATTAAAGAACGGTCAGTCGCCCTCTGTCGAGGGAACATAGAGTAATGTTATAGTGGCATATGAGTATCTACTACATCTCATTCCAGGGACGTCACAAGAGTTGACAACGTAGACAGAGAAACCTATAAACTAATTGACGCCTTCTTTCGCATTTGCACACGTAAAAGATAGATTTATGCATCCGTCTTGCATAGAAATGAGACAGAGCGGTGTGATTGTTTGTCCCTTTCTCCGTGCCGGTTTTTTTGTTTAGCAAACTACACTTTGCTAAACAACTTTGACAGTTCGTAGTGATTTAAGGAGTTTACAAGTTGGTTTAAGTGAGAAAAAAAGTGTTTTGTAAGCTTAAGATTAGTGAATCTTTTTCAGTTCAGTTCTTAATACAATTAAAAACTTTAAAAATGGTTAGATGTAGTGTCTTAGGATGTGATAGCGAAATAACCTAAAACTACGTTATCGTTCTTTCTCACTCGAGGCTACGCTAATCATTAGTCCGTAGGTTTCTCTGTCTACGGTTGACAAACAATAATAATTTTAATTTAGGATGACGATGACATATTTTTATGACCTACCAACAATGAGGGCTTTTTCCATGAATTGTTCTGCCACCAGGGTGATGTTACTTCAAAATGAGATGTAATATTTGACAGATTTCATAGCGGGGAAGGTAATTTTTAAGGGAAATGTAATGTTTCCTTTTGTACTATTAATTATATTTTATATTGATTAAATTAAAAACAAATCAACCAAACCACAGATATTCATAAAAATAGAAAAATTTAAAAAATAAAATTAAAGAACAAACCAATTAGGCAATATTTTGTGCACCTAATAATTAATCTGGAAAAAGATAAACTTTTATTTTAAAACTAACTTCTTCATTTAGTGACTGTGTAACAAAAAACTCCACCTCAGTGTCAACTAGCGACATCTTGTGAATGAAAGATTAAGCTCTCATTGTATCAGATGTTTTTCCTTGTGCAATTTATGTACGAAAAATGCCTTTATAATACAGGTAAAATCTCAGTGTTCCTATATAAAAAAAAACTTGATACAAATATCAATTTTTTTTTCTAGAATAAAAAAGCCGATTTAAAATAACTGATCGAATAAAAAATCCCGATATTAGTTTTTGAACTCGGTGCCAGTTAGTTACATTGTATATAATACTTCAAACTAACTTTAAGGGCTAGTGGAAATTATTTAAATCTTATTATTTCTGTTACTACATTACTATTATATTTACATTCTATTAAAATTCCAATTTTTTGTCGCGTTTGAGTGAACGAATACGAAATCTTAAGGAAATCTAAAATGACGTCTAAATAATAACATTAAAACCTGTTGAACATTGCCTATGTTCCCCACAGATTGGCTCATAGGGAGTGTTGGCGACGCGCCTATAAAAATGTTTCAGTTTATTAAATCAACCGATGACGTTGCTATGAAAAAAGGGGTAGTCACGAGCAACGACGCTCTGATAAGAGAATGCTTAGTTAAATCTTTAAGAAATGTCGAATTAATGATATGAAGGTCTTGGGTTCGACTCCCAGGCCGGACTAGTTTGTTTGTTTTCCTAAGTAATATCGCTTAATAAATTCGTAAGGAATTTAAGATATAAATTATGTTACCGGATTTGTTCCCCGGTTGAAATCATCTTTCAAATGATGTAAATTCATAAGAATATTAAAGTGAAGTTAAAGATCGGATTTGTTCCCCGGTCGAGATAATCACTCTGTGCATAGGCAGAATTAATGGATATTAATTGCATAAATGTTGTTTTGTATAAGTTTGATACGTTTTGTACGAAAACAAATGCCTATTTGTTATGATTGATTAATGAGAACATTCATTTATATTGTTATCTGATTAAAGATAGTTTCATACAGTTCGAAAATTGTATAAAAGCATTTAATTTGCCAAATATTGATAAAATTGGTGAATTTCAGAATTTCATTTTTTCTGATAGCCGAGAGCCGTGCAAAAGTTAGTTGTTCAAATAGTGTGAGTTCATAGACGCACGCCAAGCCACGCCCTTAGGAGGCCGAATATGTAAAAATTTAAAATGTTTGTAATTCAGTGATTTATGTAAAAATTACTTGTAAAATATTTCAGGTTAATTGTACGTGCTAAAAAAGGTAAATTCTGTGTTATTTTCATGTGAAAATTCCTGTGTATAAGTGAAATAATGATAGTTTTGTATAAGAAATTTAAAAGTGTTTTAAATAGTGAAATAAATAGAAAAAATGTAAATTAAACTATTGTATTGGTTAGCTTATGTATAAATTCAAGTGAGAAACATTGTTTTAACTTTCTGTGTTAAATATTTAAGAAATTTCGATTTCGAACTTGTGAGTAAAATAGGCAGTTTTCGTTTAATAAATAAAAGGTTTTTTATGATATGAAGATATGATGTATATCATGGTGTAGATATTGTTTTGTACTACCTATATTGATAAATTGTATTTGTATATGATTTGAATAAATAAAGATATTGAGTAAAACGTGAGAGAGTAATAGAACAAATTCATGTAATTGAGTTGCGCAAGCGCGCGAATGGCGCGGCTCACTTTCGCGTATAGCTCTGGGGTAGCTTAGTGAACGGGTTTTATTGCAATTCGTTCGGGAATGGTTCGAGAAATATTCGGGAATCGTTCGGGAATCGTTCGGGAATCGTTCGGATTCGGGAATCCTTCGGGGAAAAAGTTCGGGAATCCTTCGGGGAAGTTCGGAAATAGTTCGGAAATAAATAAGAAAATCCGAGAAAAAGTTCAAGAAAAGTGAAAAACCAGCAGTATAGGGAAAAGTGATTACTCTCTCACGGAACGGTTTGAAGATAATTGCTGTTTCATTCCCAAGATCCTTTAAGTTATACAGTCCACATCGAAGAATTAAGGCGTCGGGACCGGGACGACTTCGGAAGACCCGTAATCCCCGTCTGAACCTACTTGCTGAAAAGGAAGAGGTTATCGCCCTAGTGTGTTACTCCGTTGCGGAGATCACATACGTTGTTCCCGAACCCAACGTAGGCGTGATAGGAGGCCGGATCGAGAGAAGCCTCGATTCCTGTTTCTTAGTACCCGATCCGCTAGGTCCTTTTCAATTGGTCCTTTTCAGGATCAAGAGGGACACCGACCTGGTCCTTTTCAATTGGTCCTTTGCGGCCGATTGAGAGGACGCCCGAACCTGAGTTCCTTTTCAATTGGTCCTTCGCGGCCGGATTGAGAGGACTCGCGAACCTGTGTTCCTTTTCAATTGGACCTTCGGAGCCGGATTGAAGACCACCCGAACCCCGCCAGCTGGATCAAGGAACCAGCTGTGGACTGCTGGTTGTGGAAGAAGAAGACCTTCGGAAGCCGAGTGAAGATCAGCAACCGAAGGAAGCCAGAGGTTTGAGCTGAAGCAATAGGACCAAAGGCCTGAAGACCAGGACGGCAGCACTGAAGGGCTGGACCTGGAACTACCGGAAGAAAGAAAACCGGGATTGCAGCTTGGGGCGTGTGCTCGCATGGGGCACATATCGCAGCCGGGCGCAGGTGTCTTGTGAAGGCACTCATCGTGGCCAAGCAGGGCTTGGCATTTTTCCTGTCGGGCAAGCGTGCTCGGCATTTCCTGTCAGACGATCGTGTCTGGCATTTCCTGTCGGACGACCGTGTCCGGCATTTCCCGTCGGGTCATCAGGGTGCAAAAAGCATCCACCGCTGCTGCTGCCGGGCGAGGGTGCGCGTGGGCACCTGACTGCATCGCGGCCGGAGGAGGGCGCTTGGACGAGGCGTCACCGGCAACTGGGCGGCGAGCACAGCATACATCCCGACCACCTAACGGTGCCAAACGGTTGGGCTCTGGCATAACACCTTCGGGTGGAGCAGTTCTCTCGAGCGAGACTGCGCTTGCACTACCGCTCGACTGTTTCGTCATATTCCTTGGCGGGACAGTTCCTAAACCTTTCCTCCATTCCATTCCTGCACGACTCCATCCCTGGACGGCTCACCTCGGTAGGCCCCGTTCAGGATTGATAGGGCTGATAGGGCTGTTAGGGTGGTAGTAGGGTTGTAGGGTTGGGAGATAAAGGGGGGGGAGGGGTAGTGGTGTTAGGTTGGGGTGTAGAAGGGTTGTAGGTAAGGGGTTGTAGGGACCGTAGGGACTGTAGGGACAGTTAGGGACCGTAGGCCAACAATCACCTTCCTGCAAGATGAAGAAGGCACAAGACCAGACAGGGAGAAGCGAAGGGAGCAGGACAAGGACAGGGCTCTCAAGAAAAGCTAAAGAAGCGGAATCATCTGGAGCGACCACAGCTACTGCGTCAAATGGAGCAACTCCTCCAAGTGGAGCCACCACAGACACGTCCACATGCACGTGGGACTCAGGGACGTCCATAGCAACGACAAGCAACCGGACGGACACCAGTGGTACACAGGCCAGCACCGCACAACAATCCGTTATATCCAGGAGTGAAACGGTGGTCGAAAAAGTAGGTCAAAGGACCGAAGAAGCGGCATCGTCAAGGACAGTAATCGGGCACACTAGTGATAAAGGGTCACAGAGAGGTAGTAGGTCATCGCGATCGGCGAGGCTGAAAGCCGAATTAGAGGCGCGGATTAAATTCGAACGCTCAGAGCTCGAACGAGCACAGGCAGCTGCTGCCTTAGCCAAGTCTCAATTGGAGTTGGCACGACTCAACCGAGAAGAGGAAATCGACTCGAGTGAGGATGATGAAGAGCGGAATACTCAGGTGGAACCTTTCGTAAGGAGTTGGGTTCAGCAAACCATAATGAGCGCGCCGGTTAGTGTAGCACAACCCGATATTACTGATAAGGAAGCGTGTAAAGGATCCCGCCGCAAAGGGGCGGAGGTCGAGCGCAACCTAGGAAATGCACAGAAAACACACGCGAGTGAGGTGTCAGAATTGACCGAAGCGATTGTGAG